GTTTTGAGGTTATTATGAAAAGTCTCCTTTAAATATAACTATTTGTTTTACTAATTACCTGTATTAACCTGTATCATTGGCGCAAATGAAATGTTTTATTTTGGCGCAAATGAAATATGGTTTGTGGCGCAAATGAAAGATTATTTTAGCGCAAATGAAATGCCAATTGGCGCAAAAGTAAAGCTCCGGACAGTTCTATGGTTAGAACTGATTTGTTCAGTTCTGCTGACAGTTCTAAGACTAGAACTGATTTGGACAGTTCTACCTAGAACAGTTTTAGACAGTTCTACCCTAGAACTGATCCTGACAGTTCTACCTAGAACTGATTTGGTCAGTTCTACCTAGAACTGATTCTGACAGTTCTACTTAGAACAGTTCTAGGGTAGAACTTTTCTAGGTAGAACTGTTCTAGGACAGTTTAGAACAGTTCTATAACAGATTATTCTGACAGTTCTAATGAGAGGTTAGAAGTGATCTCCACTGTAAGTCGAAAAGGGCTTTTTCCTTATTATATCCATGTAAGTTCACGAAGGTTTAACATTTGCCGTAAGATTTTGATGGTTTTTTTTAATCAGGCCATAATACTACACAGATCACATAGAAATAGTCATGATATTACTTTTATTACAAAATAACTTCAATTTGGCACATCATATTACATATGACGAAGTATAATTGACTCTTTAAGTATTCTTTATTTGATTTGGTCAATAATTCTTAACATATTTTTGCATAATTTACTTTGGCCACCATACAAATTCAGAAAGTTTTGTGTCTAGGGATTCAATATCATCATTGGCAACAATTGGTTACAGAACATTTTGAATCCTAGGTTGCAGCCAAGGGTTTTCTCAAGCTTATAGGTCCGGAATTTTCCGAAATTCACAAAATCATCCTATTTTGACAAAATATAAAAAATGTGCTGATTTTGAAGCAAAGAATGCACTCTTATGAAGAGATTTCTTTTACCAAGAAAGTAAATCTTTTAAAAACAGATCCATTTAAGATTTTGAAATTTTACGATAAAGCTGAAATTCAGGGCTATATTTGGCCTAAAGTGATCATTTTCCTATGCCACCAAAATTGAAGTTTTCCTATGAAAATTACAAGAAAACAAAAATGGTGACCCCCATTTTGTATTTCATATTCCAAAATAACTCGGATCAAATTCAAAGTGTGCAAAATATTTTAGAAATAGGGAGATATGCCATTCGGTATCGTGTTACTTGTGTCATAAAATGTATTGTAAACTCCCGTGGCACATTCCATGCATCTATTTTATTGCCATCCAATGTTTTTTTGTTTATAATATATCTTAACCATTTCCAAAGAAACATTTTATTCTCATAATTCTGTGAGCATTCTTTTAAGACTTTTCTGCATGTATCATTAGAAACAATGGTATATGTCATTTAGACAGCAATCCAACGACACGAATAACTACTAGACTCTTATAGGTCACAGTATATGGTTTTAGTTTTATATCATCACATGAAGGATTCTGGGTTCATGTGATAGTAAAATGTGTTTTACCTAAACAAAAAAAACGCTTCATAAAAAATCAAGTGATACATTTTCAAGAAAAAATCTACCGGTATTCATAAATTTTCTGAAAAATGTATTCTAGTTTAACCCAACCACATTCTGTATCTGCCTCTCCCAAGTCAGGAGCTTGTAATTCAGTGGTTGTCTTTTGTTGCTGTTACATATTTGTTTTTCGTTCATTATTTTGTACATAAATTAGGTCGTCAGTTTTCTCGTTTGAACTTTTTTACATTTGTCATTTCGAGGCCTTTTATAGCTGACTATGCGGTATGGGCTTTTCTCATTGTTGAAGGCCTTATGGTGACCTATTATAATAGTTGTTAATTTCTGTGTCATTTGGTATCTTGTAGAAGCGTTAAAGATGCTTAATAAGCCAAAAACCACCAGTGCATAATATTTTTTTCAATGTTTTATAAAGAGAATGAACAAAAAAAAAACAATAAATCACGAATCGATCTAGAAATTATGATATTTAGGAATAAAGAGGTAGAAATTGTAAATTCCATCACCAGGAAAGCGTCTACCGCGTTGTTTTGTCGGCGTAAATATAAAAAAGGAGGTGAGGGCGGGAGAAGATGGGAATCTGAGAGGTAAATTAATCCATTCTTTGGTGATTAATTCACGCAAAGCAATACGTTTTGTCATAAATAAAATAAAAATTGCTGACGTGCAATATAGTGCTATGTGCTATGATATTGTCACGTGCTCAACGCTCGAAACAAGTGGGCGTTCGTCAAACAATTCTTTAAGTTGGGTGGGAATAATTGACCAACATGGGAGGAGTCAGCAATTCAAATTACTGTTGAAACAGGTTAAGCGATAAACTTCCTCCATCAATCACTTACTTATTTCTAATAACTAGTTGTTTTGTTCATAGACGATAAATTAGAAGTGACTAACAATAAAAAATAGCGGTTAACCGATAAAAATAGCGGTTAACCGATAAATTAATAGCAAATTAACTGATAAAAATAGCGGTTAACCGATAAAAAAGGCGGTTAACCGGTAATATTAGCGGTTAACCGACAAATATATAGCGGTTAATCGATAAAATAGCGATTAACCGACATTAAATAGCGGTTGACCGATAAAAATAGCGGTTAACCGGTATATAAATAGCGGTTAACCGATAAAAATACCTTTTGAACCAAATGGTACACCATACTTATCTCCGATTTTGTTTTCCTCTACCGTGGTCCTGTTGGTTGGTGGACGAAGCCGTGGCAACAATCGCACCGCTTTTTTGATATATATATTTGTCAATAACCAAAGGATCATCCTGGCTTAGTATGGTTGAAATTGACTATTTCAGCTTTCAAAGGAGGAGATTAAAAAAGTTAAATCAGGTTATCGTCCATGTAAGTTTTTGTCTGGTCTGCGCCACGCGAGAGAGTGTGTTATTTAGGCCGACAGTGTTCAAAATTTACAAATAAACTCAATATATTATCTTTTACTTTCACTTAGGGTATCAAAAGTGTGTATGATGAATCATTTTCAATAGAATGAGACCTCATTTTCAGACTCAAATATTCAAGTTAAATTTTCAGAGTGGATTTTAAAAAAAGAAGATGTGGTATGATTGCCAATGAGACAACTTCCAACCTGAGACCAAATGACGAAGAAGTTGGCAACTAAAGGTCACCTAACCTGGGACGATTGCTTGTACTTAATAGGTCAATAAAGCTTGATTTGTTGATTGTTCGTAAAGAGTTGATGTTCGTCTCACATTAAAGGTATCTTATGGGTTCATCCTTATAGTCATGCTCAAATAATAATTGCATACGAGGCATCTATACACGAAAGTGATTGGATTATAAGTAAAAGAGTGTGTGTCAATCCTGTACATGTCATTTAATCTTGACCTTATAATCAGGCTTTTGTGGTCAGTTCAGTTTTCCAAGAGGATGAGTTGCGATTCTCAGTATATGATGAGCCAAAAATAGTTGGTATGTGACTTGGAGTGAGGACGTGGATTGGCTGCGAGGGACCTTTTACCGGTAGTTTTACCGTTGTCTTGCATATGTCATATATGGTCTTAACCTAATTTTAACGCTTCAGTGGTTCAGTTTATCCATACATATGTTTCCATGATGAAATCTGTACCTCAGCACATTTATACTTAACAGGTCAACAGTATCTGATATGTGGTATGTGTTTTGATATAGGTATAGGGGTATTATTGATCGGAATACCTTCGGCGTTCGTCTATTAAGTCCTTTTTGGAAAACGTAAAGTCGTATAGCAATCTCACCTGAAAAACATATGCACACCTAGAGAGACAGGTCATGAAGGTCACTAGACATATTTTTCACGATTCAGTGGCTTTGATGCTGTTTATAAACTTCTAAAATCCCAAGTGACTTACAATTAATTATTAAACTTGGTGTCAGTACGAACCGAAGACCGTATTATGACAGCCTCTGATTTAAAAGATTTTCAAATTGACTCGGATCAAGTTAACCGTCCACGTTCAGACATCAGATACTACGTAGTCTACAGCCATATCGCAAAGTGTGGTGATTTATCTAAGGGACAATATATGGCTGTCTTCCAGATAAACTGGAAATCACTTTAGTGTAGATTTTACACTGCTTCACTGACTTAAGTCATATACGTTCGAGTAAGAATATATCTGGAGAAGTGCTAGTATAGCGGCCTCGCACTAAAATGTCAAACTGGCTTATATTTGACGCTACATTGACGTCTAATTATATAAAATTATCATATTTATAGAGCCAACTTGATTGAGTCGATACTCTAAAATCGTAGTTAACCCTTGAGTTTTTGTCTCAGTTGACCAATACATATGGCTTTGCACTCAGTGTCATGCTTCAGTGATTTTGGATAAGGTTTGTATCTCAACAACAACTTATCACATTTCGTATGTAAATTAGAGTCTACATGTGCAGCTGAAGGCTTGGTTTTACTTTGGTTTTCAGATCTTTTCAAACTTCGTTGTCCTTTTAAATAAATCAGAGTTTGCTGTTTACATTATTATGCTCTTGTGTCGCTTATGCTTGCATGTATGTGTGCTTTCCTAATGGCATGCTTGTGTTTTGATGTTAATTGTTGGTTTTGTTTTTATGCATTCGGTTAAAAGCTCTCCAGAGCTTATCTTTATATTATGAATTTCAAAACAGCTTTCGTATTCAGAGTATTTATAAGCAAGGCAACTTAATGGTCCAATTAAAAGTTTTGTTTTGAATTTGTCGCTCTTGTTTGTTTCTTTGTGTGGTGTGTGCTTAATTTATTTGAGTAATTTGATAAGGACGACGACGATGGTGACGAAGACGACGACGATTATCATTATCATTATCATTATCATCATCATTATCATTATCATTATCATAATTATTATTATTATAGTGATCTTTAGTTGTTATTTATATTATCAATAACCGGAACAGAAAACCGGAACGGGTTTTGCCTATTACACAATTTCAAAATGTCTGCGCCCATGTTGCAACGTCAAACAAAATTGACTTTTACCAATCCCTGAAATCGTACAGTATTGCGATATCAAAATGAAATTTTAAAAAGTGTTTATGATAGATTTTAACATGGGTAAAAAACAGAATTATAAGAATGGTCGTCATGCAACGATGTTTGTATATTTACAAAGTTGTAAGTCAAAATCCAGTGGAAATTTTTATCGGGTTGGGATTAACCCCCTAGATGAGGGGTATCCTTTAAATGAGAGTCCCGCAGACAAGGGATTATTTTGCTGTTAAAGAAAACCTTAGCTTCTGTAACTTGAAAGGGAGATAATTAATATATTTGGAACAACTTTTCAAAAAGAGGCGTCCTCTTATTTTCAATAATAAAGAAGACTGAAGTCCATGAATATTCCAAATTCCATGGACATGTTTTGTCAATACACCTTATCGCTATTCCCGGCTGACCCGAGAATCTGTCCCGCTTGAACTATTGACGTCATACAACAATCACTTTTCCATTGTGGCGTCAGATATTTTGTATTATGACGTCAAAATTTTACGGGAACCTGTGTGATGTCCAGTAATGGCGGACAAATAGCGATAAGGTGTATATAATACCAGATAGACTTATTGTTCTTTGGGAAAGTTTCTGCAAATGATATAAATATATGCCCATTTGTACTTAGAAGTGGGTTAAAGTTTTTATCACTTGCAATCTAGATAAAAGGGACAGCCATTTCCTTGAGGGGTTATTCCCAACCTGTTTAGTACATAAAAAATGTATATTGATTATTATACAATTGAGTCGACTCCAATTAATAGTCCTCCAAATAAATGTCTATATTTAAACAACAGGATATCCATATTTTTCTGTTATTCATCTTTGAATGGAAGTTAAACATAATATATAGATATAAGAAGATGTGGTATAAGTGCCAATGAGACAACTCTCCATCCAAGTCACAATTTGTAAAAGTAAACCATTATAGGTCAAAGTACAGCCTTCAACACAGAGCTTTGGCTCACATCGAACAGCAAGCTATAAAGGCCCCCAAAAATGATGTGTAAAACCATTTAAACAGGAATGAATACATGACATACATTGTAAGCATCGTTCTAAAAATGGAATTACCTCTTTTTTATCTATAATGAAGCAGTCTATTGCATAAGAAATTGTTTTATAAATGCAACTCTTCAATGTATGTGTTGGCAGATTTACCAGACAGGGTTATTTCCGATGAAAAATTAGATAGACACTTGTTTTTGTAGATTTTCATGATTTTGGGATTGTTTTTCATTATCATTTTTTTATTTTAAAAGAATTGTACCTTCAATTAAGCACACATTACAATCAATTATGAAACGTTTTGACAACATCACTGTAAATTGATAGTAAAAACAGAAAAAGCCTAAGACATACATGTAATACCGTACTGCAGTTTACCTGAGCAGCTGATTACCTTATATTAAATCTATTTATTGACCATAAACTTTTCATTAATTTAACATGTTTAATCATGTTAACAGTCCATTTGGTCCAAATATTTTATTTAGTTGTTGCCGACATGTATTTTTTATAAATGTTCTATTTCTTCAGATTTTGTTACCATAGCTACCATTTTAGGAGTTGGGATTCTAGGTAAGTAAAGACCAAAATGATATCAATCAACTTCTGATTAATCAAACATGATTTTCTCTCTGATCAGATATTTTTTCTTTCAATATTTAGAATGTTTAAAATGAGATTGCAATTCCTTTATGGGTAAGGCAGGCAGCTTAGGCCGTTAAATAAACTACTACAATGTTTACATTGGTATACCATGCATTCAGTGCTGAAGATCATTGATTGGATGATCTTTGAAAGGAGATTGCAGTGGGTTAGACCAATAAACATGATAAATAAAATAATTAAAAGCAAAAGTTAAATTGGTGTAATTAGGGTTTTGATGTTTTCAATACTTTGTGTATTGAGCAATTATGAATAGAAGCAACTCTTCCATTTGCCTGTCCCATATGAGGAAACTCCTTATTGATTGTTCTTAGTTATACATGTACATGATGCATGTACATGTATATCTTTTTTTCTTTTTCTTTTTTTTTTTTATCATTTAGGGAATTCAGTGGCAGATCTTTTATTTATTCACAAAATCTTGAGACTCTTGGTAATTTAAAACTTGACATATGATGTATAGAAATTAATATGTGTATGTCTACTGTTGAAGAAAGAAAAAATTCAAAACTCATAAGTAGTTGAAAAACTAACAGAGCCATGTTAAAAAACAAAATATGACAAAAAGACCAAAAGTCCACAAAACACTACATAGAAAACTAAAGACTGAGCAACATGAACCCTATCGAAAAACCGGAGTGAAGACATGTTCTCTAAATGGATTGAAGACTGTATGTTAATCTCAAGATGTCCTTTGGTTTCTTGAATTGTTGGATTGCTGTCTCATTTACCTACACACCACATCTTCTATTTTTAAAATTTTTTATTACATATTTCAAGAGAACATTTAGAATCGATACTCAAGACATGATACATAGAACCTCTTTATATAAATGGATATAATATTCTTGCTATAGTTGTATATGAGGGGACTAATCTAATTTAATAATACATGAAGTGATTTGTAAGATTGAAGAATGATGAATTACTAGAAAGATTACATTATTACTTATTTTTATATGCTGAGATGTATTTTTCCATATACTATTTTACTTTTATAACATATGACCTAGACATAGATTTTTTTTACAGGACTACCTGTGACCCTGTCAAGAGCAGGATTATACCCTTTCCTTATTTCTTTCATTCTGGGATCAGTTATACAGGTACAATTCTTTCACTTATTCAATAACTTAAAGGTTTACATTTTTATTAGTCTAATTCTCTCAGTGATCAGTTTTACATATACAATACACCTTATCGCTATTTGGAAATCTGCGGCGCTTGACCCAAGAATTTGCGCCTCTTGAACTATTGACTTCATACAACAATCACTTTTCCATTGTGGCGTCAGATATTTTCTGTTGTGATGTCAAATTTTACGGGAACCTTTGTGATGTCCAGTAATTCTTGCACTTATTCATTGATTTACATTTGACAATTTGTCTGAGTCTTTTAATTTGGGCCCTGCCTAATGGCGGATGCCCTATAGTGATCAGTCTGTCCGTCCGTCCGTAACAAATTGTGTCCACTCTATATCTGCAGAATCGTTATGATTTCAAAGTTTATACTTGACATGTATATTAACCAACACCAGAGGGTGTGTCATAATGTATGTACAAATTCCTAGGTCAAAGGTCAAGGTAAAAAACTTTGGTTTCAGTTGAGAACCACATGTCCTATGGTAAAGATCGTGTCCGCTCTATATTTTGAAAACCGTTATGATTTCAAAGTTTATACTTGGCATGTATATGAACCAACACCAGAGGGTGTGTCATAATGTATGTACAACTTCTTAGGTCAAAGGTCAAGGTCAAAAACTTTGGTTTCAGTTGACAACCCCATGTCCTATGGTAAAGATCGTGTCCGCTCTATATCTTGAGAACCGTTATGATTTCAAATTTTAAACTTGACATGTATATAAACCAACACCAGAGGGTGTGTCATAATTTATGTACAACTTCCTAGGTCCTAGTATAATTTTGTTTTGTTTTTACTCAATAATTTAATCCTTTACTGTTATGACTGAGTTTACACGATGACACAACAACTACACCATATCATATTGACAACTACACCATATCATATTGACAACTACACCATAAATTGCCAACTACACCATATTATATTGACAACTACACAATATTATATTGACAACTACACCATATATCATATTGACAACTACACCATATCATATTGACAACTACACCATATTATATTGACAACTACACAATATCATATTGACAACTACACCATATCATATTGACAACTACACCATATTATATTGACAACTACACCATATGATATTGACAACTATGTCATATTATATTGACAACTAAACGATATTATATTGACAACTACACAATATCATATTGACCACTACACCATATCATATTGACAACTACACCATATCATATTGACATCTATACCATATTATATTGACAACTACACCATATCATATTGACATCTATACCATATTATATTGACCACTACACCATATCATATTGACATTTATACCATATTATATTGACAACTACACCATATCATATTGACATCTATACCATATCATATTGACAACTTCACCATATATTATATTGACAACTACACCATATCATATTGACATTTATACCATATTATATTGACAACTACACCATATCATATTGACAACTACACCATATCATATTGACAACTTCACCATATATCATATTGGCAACTACACCATATTATATTGACAACTACACCATATTATATTGACAACTACACCATATGATATTGACAGCTACACCATATTATATTGACAACTACACCATATCATATTGATAACTACACCATATAGTATTGACAACTACACCATATTATATTGACAACTATAACATATTGTATTGACAACTATACCATATTATATTGACATCTATACCATATTATATTGACAACTACACCATATCATATTGACATCTATACCATATTATATTGACAACTACACCATATCATATTGACATTTATACCATATTATATTGACAACTACACCATATCATATTGACATCTATACCATATTATATTGACAACTACACCATATCATATTGACAACTTCACCATATATCGTATTGGTAACTACACCATATATCATATTGCCAACTACACCATATCATATTGACAACTACACCATATTATATTGACAACTACACCACACAAAATTGACATTTGCACCATATATTATATTGACAACAACACTATATTATATTGACAACTACACCATATATTATATTGACAACTACACCATATATTATATTGATAACTACACCATATATTATATTGACAACTACACCATATATTATATTGACAACTATACCATATTATATTTACAACTACACCATATGATATTGACAACTGCAACATATCATATTGACAACTACACCATATCATATTGACAATTACACCATATGATATTGACAACTACACCATGTCATAATGACAACTACACCATATGATATTGACAACTACACCATATGATATTGACAACTACACTATGTTTAATTGTTATATTGAAAATTACATCATATTATATTGACAACTACTTCATGTCATATTGACATCTACACCATATCATATTGCCAACTACACAATATTTAAAGATAACCTGAATGTTTCTATTTTTCAGGTCCTTTTGGTATATTTCTTTGTAGAACTACTACAGATTGCTTATGCTGCTCAAAATTCAGGAACATCTCATAAGGTATGGTAGAATGTAAGAAATAGGTATTTCATCACAGTAATATGTATTTCATTACAGTCTAAGGAAACCTAGAATGCAATAAACAGCAGTTTTGTAAAGCAACTTTAGGGATCGTCAATCCTGAATTGATCTGTTCAAACATTTTCAGGAGTAATTTGATAGCTTCACAACAACTTATCTTCACCTTAAACTATAACCAGTAACAGTCATGAAACTTACAAAACCAAAACACAAGACAAGTAGAACAACTGGCTTCGGGTTTAGGTAACATAGATAAAGAATGAAAATTCATCCTTGATCACATTCAAAGAACTGTGAAGATGAAGGACAGCAATTAAAGTTTTGTTCTTTTCGTATATGTTTATTTTGTACTTTTATTATACTGTGGATTCATTATTATTTGTTGGATACCAATTTTCGTTGGTTTCGTGGGTACAGGTGAACCACGAATTCAAATGTTCAACGAATATCATATTTTCAATAGGCTTTGTATACAGAGCAAAACCATGAAATCAAATATCCACGAATATGCAAGTTTTCAGCAATCCTCGAAAAATTGGTACCCACGGAAATAAATGAATCCACAGTATCATAATATCATGTGTACAATTAATCCATGATAACTGTCTTTTATTGTTGATAGTGATAGCCCATATTATTAGGATTATTTTTTAAAAGAAAATGTTTTATATTCTAAACATTCATGATATTACTGAAATGAATCTTTGTTAGAATACATATATCACTTAAGTATTTTTCACTTGAAATATTTTGTAGGAAGAGATGGTTCCATTGAATGACATGTTAGAAGATGATAGTTGTGATGAAATGGCACCTATGGACAGTAGTACTGGTAAGGGAAAGATGTTCAAATTCATGTTTTATAGTAGACATTAACCTTTTAGATAACACAGTAATTTTGTTGTTAAAGTACAATAACAAATTTGATATTGCATAATTTGCATTATATACATTTTGGTAATGTTTATTGGTGCCACAGGACATAAAGCAGACAACACTCATTCAATTACCAGTAGTTTTAGGACTGTTTTTGAAAAATATTGGAATGCAGAAATTGATTGATGATTAAGTAAAGTAAAACTACAGTCATCTGCCATTCTCGAACTTTAGTTTGCCTCAACCAAATGTTATGAAACCTATACACAATGCTTATTACCACCAAACAAGTTCAATTTGGGTGGCATCACTTTCGCTGTTCTTGAGTTATGTCCCTTTGTAAATTGAAAAATTGCAGAATTTGCCATATATTTACAAGTGGAGGCATCTGTGTCCCATGGACACATTGTTAATTTGTTTTATTCTCCTTAAGTATTGTAACTGGTTCATTTGTCTAGTGCTAACAAGCTGGCCTCTGTTACAGGAGGCCATTAGTCTGTTCCAAACCCGGATAAAACCAAAGAATTGTAAATTAGTATTGCTGCTTCTCTGATAATCAAGCAGCTTTTCAGTTATTGCAAAGACTGGCTATTTCAGAGTCAGAAAATATATCAGGGTAGACAGTGTAGATTAACAACGTTTTTCTTGGAACTTTTACCTTGAGACCTAGCATGTTAAAATTCTAGTCCAGGGTGATGTTCTAGTACAGAGCAAGGTTCATATTCATATTACATTAACGTGTTCTTCGTCTGAATTAGCATGTTATAGATGCCACTCGATATTAAACAACCATTCTTCTATAACATTAAATATCAAATTTGATAATATTCAGCAAAGTTCCTCAGCAGTTGTAAGATTGTGATTTTTTCTACATCTGAAAAAGAAATGATTCAGCTCGAAATATTTTTCAGGTCCTGTACTGGCAGGTCATGTGATCATACCTAAAGGTCAAGAAATAGAATCACCCAGTCTGTATACATTAGGAAGTTTATTTTTAGGATGTGGATTTAAACAGTGTTTTGAAATTATACTGTTTTTACAATTGTAAGTTGATTTTATTGCATCATAGAATGGATGGTCAGAAAATAGTAAGCCATAATTTCATTAAAAAATAAAAAGAATAATTTGAAACACAAAGTTTGCCATTAATGAAAACAATTATTCAAGAATTCATGGTTCTTAACTTAAAGACAGATTGAAAGAATTAGGTCAACTTTATTTCACAAAAAAGAAAAGCCGATGCAGATAAATATCTTGTTTTAAGGAGAAATAAATCATTTTTGTAAAACAAACTTCCTTGATACTGACTGCATCATCATGGTCACTATTATTTTATTGACAACTTATTTATCATGTTTTGTGGATTTGTTTTTTAAACAGTCAGTATTGATTTCTATGGGTACCAACTGTGCTTCTCTCCTTTGCTTGTTCCCTTATTGAACTGAGGCCTACTTCCAACAGGAGATTCTGAGATAGAATGAGAAAAACCTATCATTTTCCTTTTTCTTCACCTGCTGCTATATAGATAATATTGATACCTCAATGTTTAATGACTATGCTGTTTGCATCTACCCCATGTAACGTGAAATAATTGATACCACAAATCATTTTAAGTCTGTTTCATCTTATGCTATCATCTTTAAATTAATTTATGCAATGAGGGTCTGTTGAGAACTAAAATGTATAATGGAGTTGATTTCAATTTTCCAATTGTGAACTTTCCATTTGTGTACATCTCCTTCATTAGGACTTATTATATATCTAAATGTTTATACAATAAGTGCAGGGCTTGCATTTATTATCATAATATCCTTGAGAGATGGTCACAATGGAGCTATTGAACCAAGATTTTCTAAAAGCATATGTTGAAAGTTTTATGGACTACATAATGAGCAGGACAATGGGTGCCACTAGTAGATCAAAAACTCTTCTGGAACAGCTGTGTTCATAATTGTTTTTTTTTTTGGGGTTCATGTTGCTCAATCTATTGTTTATTGTACACTGTTTGTCATTTCATTGATTTTTTTAGGCCAAGTGTTATCTGATTTTTTCAATTATGATTTTTTATTGTACCCCTTTTTTATTGATATTTTATCTGAGCATCAATTATGTTACTATTTCTGGAAAATAAGATAAAATTTCATTAAATTTGAGTATTAAAGAGGAGGTGCTCTTTTAGTTTTAGTTTTCTTTCTATTCACGTAAGGTGGTGTTTTTAATTATATTTCTGAAAATTGCATGCTATGAATAACATTTTAACAAAGTATTGAAAAAATCTATCGATTTTAATGTAGACCTCCATCTACATTCATATAAGATGAAATTTCCCACAATTCTAAGTAAAAAATGTATTTTTATTTTTATACGCCCGTTTACAGGACGTTTTATGGTATACCTTTGTCCGTCTGTCCGTCCGTCCGTCCGTCGTCAACATGTCGGACAATAACTCATAAATCCTTTTACCAATTTGCATGAAACTTTGATGAATTGTTTATATCTATTGACGTGAGCTCTCTTTCGATTTTTATAAATTTTGGATTTTACGTTTCCAAGTTATGGGGTTTTATTCATTAAAAAAGGGGAATTTTCCAGTTTTCGGACAATAACTCAAAAATGCTTTGAACAGTTTTCATGAAACTTTGGTGAATTGTTTATGTCTGTTGATGTGAGCTCCCTTTCGATTTTTATAAATTTTAGATTTTACTTTTCTAAGTTGTGGGGTTTTATTCATTAAAAAAGTGGGATTTTCCAGTTTTCGGACAATTAATCAAAAATGCTTTGAGCAGTTTTCATGAAACTTTGGTGACTGGTTTATATCTATTGAAAAAGCGACGGGCATATCATGCACTCATGGCGCTGCTGTTTATTCTTATTTGTAGAATATGATTTGAGATCTGTAATGGTTTTGGGTACTTGTCCATGTTTGAAGGTTGTGTATCTTGATTTCTTAAATAAATGAAAATTAAATCATGTTCTTATCAATTGACCCTTGAAAATTAAGAATATCTTATGCTATAACACTATTTGCTTTTCAGTGTTGGATTTTTAATAAGTTATGCTTTAGCTGGTAGTGAGGCATATGCACAGATCATTGGAGTGGAGTAAGTATTGTAATAGGATGTACTGTTTGTATGTCAGTAGTGTTTGATTTTTATACGCACGTTTACGGGACGTATTATGGTATACCGTTGTCCGTCGTCAACATGTCGGACATTAACTCAAAAACGCTTTAACCAATTTGCATAAAACTTTATTGAATTGTTTATATCTATTGACGTGAGCTCCCTTTCGTTTTTTATAAATTTTAGATTTTACGTTTCCGAGTTACAGGGTTCTATTCATAAAAAAGGGGGATTTTCTAGTTTTCGGACAATAACTCAAGAATGCTTTCACCAACTTGCAAGAAATTTTGGTGAATTGTTTATATCTATTGACATGAGCTCCCTTTCGATTTTTGTAAATTTTAGATTTTACGTTTCCGAGTTACAGGGTTTTATTTATAAAAAAGGGGGATTTTCCAGTTTTTGGACAAAAACTCAAAAATGCTTTCTGCTGTTCTTATGAAACTTTGGTGAATTGTTTATATCTATTGATGTAAGCTCCCTTTTGATTTTCATAAATTTCTAATATGACATTGAGAATTAATTGAACTTTATTTGTTTATAGTCTGACAACAGATTTATTAAGTATTGCGCAACAGCACAGTGTATTACACAACAGCAAGAAATCTTTAATTGAATATAAATTCAATTCATATAACCAATTTCAAGTTCTTTGACTACATTTATTCAGAAACCTATATGTTGAATATTTAATTACAATCCAAATTCAGACCTGTATCAAGCTTGAATATTTTGTCCATTTTTGCCCCAACTGTTCAGGGTTGGACCTCTGTGGGCGTATCCAGCTGCGCTCAGCAAAGCAGTTTATTTATATTTTAGTACTTTTTGTTACAAAAACCATTTTGTATATGTATTGCTGAACATTTCAGCATGGATCGTTACCTATATCTAGTGCTAAAGTTGATTTGAAATCTTTGTGACATATAGGGCTTCAGATGTTAGTAGCTAGTCTAGATCGTTAAAGTGGTACTTTCCTTACATAGAGCGTCAGATGTTAGTTGCTAGTCTAGATCGTTAAAGTGGAACTTTTTATACCTAGGGCTTCAGATGTAACTAGTTTGATTTCACATGAAATAATTGACTAACATGAAAGTTTAATGAAATGTTTGTCATCAAAGCTTAGCTAATTTAACTTTTTTTAATATAAAGTAAACTTATAGCTGAATTTCAGAGACTTAAGAACAAAGGGAACCAAAGGTAACCTAATCGAAAGGTACTTGAATAATTTAATAACTTTCTAAAATATTGGCAATATAAAATATTTTGTTTTATAACAATATAAACTTAACTCCTAGCTTAATTCTATATTATAATTATTATATAGACAAGACAAGACAATATTTTATTTTAGTCTCACCTCTTATAAAACATTTACATAATATTACAATATATTATATGTGTGCATAATATAGATAGCTATTATCTACTTATTTATTAATTAAATTGTGATTGTTTTTCAGTAATTAAGGTAAACTTGATATTTCAGCTTGCGTTATGTTATACCTATGTTTGTTTGGATTTGCACATTTGCTGTTGTGTTTGCTCTGCAGTTAGTACAGCCAGTTGTTTCAGTTTTAACTTTCTTTAAAGGATCACTTTTATTAGGGACTGTAAGTTTATATATATTATTTATCCACTGGATCTATGTGATCACTACAGATTTTAGGATGGTGCAGAATTCTGAGTTAAAGACATATCTTGAATCTGATGATGTGTTTTATGACTTGAAGAAGTTTAAACAAGATTTTAATTATCTACTACAAACTTTTGACATTTAGTTTGCTTTAAATCAAGTAAAAGAGAGGTCAAATAGCTACTTAATTTTAAATATACATTTGCATATAGTTTATTTGAAAATAAAAATTAATAGAATATTACTATTTATGAATTAATGTGAAAAAGTTAAAAATATCAAATTTAAGCAGTTTATAAAAATGATGAAAGTGTCTTATCATTATATTTTGCTTGTGTAAGCTATTGAATAAAATTTGGCACAAGCTGTGTATTGATATCCCATGCTATTGCAAATACTGTTATTTCAATTCCTTCCAAGTAAGAGTACTGATACAATACTAGTAGGACTGACAACTGTCAGGATTTACAAACAATTACGCTGGAACTCAAAGGTGTAAATATTAATTGGAATCACTCCATCTTAATTGACCACAGTTGATATCTAATGTATTACATAATGGAATAGACACTTTATTACACATCTCAGTACACAACTTGTACACAGTTATTGACCTCAATACTATACCTATAGATACTTTTGATCTACTCTACATAAAATTATTCTATAAGTTATGTGTCAAAGATGAATGATTAAGGATTAATAAGATGTCTTTTTTTCAAAGAAAAGACAAAAAATAAAATGTAAATAAGAAAGTGCAAATAGGGTCTATTTTACTTCTCAAGTCAGAGTCATAATCATCTGATATTAGTCATTACTTTAGTGTAATTTAGTTACATTTATCAGGAATTTGCTTGAAACAATAAATAAAATTCCACACCTCGAACTTCAGTATTTTCTGCAATAACATGAATTTATTTATTCCCCATTACATTGCTTTTTAACAGTATAAGGTATTTGTACATGTATATATATTTGAATACAGGAAATTCATTTTTTTCCCAATGAAGAAAAAACACAAATTTAAAAACAAAATTAGTTACTTTAACATTTTGCGTTTTCAATGCCTCTTTGAGGGAATTATTAAGTCACACTTTAATGATAAATTATACCACACCTTCCTTTGAAGATACTTTTTCCCATCCATATCAAAATCATTACATTGATTAATGTTTATAAAAAAAGGTGTAAAAATCAGTACACCTTCTAAAATTGGTGTTTTAAAAGAATTTGCATCAATGTTGAGAAATTATCGATCTTTGGGAAATAGAAAAAAAAAGTTTATAGTATGATTCTGGAAATGAAAATAACCCTAAAAACCATTTCATTGTATCATCACCTTGAAAATTGGGAAAGTTCAGAAGAAATATGTGAAATAATTACTATTTATACAACAAATTAATATCTTTTGATGTAATTTATAATTTAATGTTCTCTCATTTTTTTTGTAAACATAATATGGTATTTGGATAATTTCAGGTGATAATTACATTTATTGTTGGATCAGAAGTAAACAGAGAAATCCATGATGATTTCAAAGCCACAGGAGAACCATTCCTAATGGGAACAGTAGCTTTAGGTATTTGCTATAGAGTGTCTGAATTACAAATAGTCTGAGTTTGCTTTGAGATTTTACTGCATTTCTTGGACTTCCTTGGGCCATGGGATGTAAGATAGAAGTCCATATAGAAAGCATGGAAATTGCCAATCCAGACTTGGGGCAGCAATTTTCTGTCATGAATATTCTGCACAAATATGTATCTTTTGTTCACTGAATCCCCCCTGTAGCACAGAAAAAGTCTGATACCCTTCAACTTTCTATGTTTTGCTACTTTCTTTCACATTGTGCATTCCTTGCACGTAGATTTTTTGGAGTAAAATGTATATAACTTAGGTTATCTGCATATATCAATAAGATTTGCCGTTTCATCCTATCTCTGGTACACAAATAAACCTATGCTAACCTATTTACATTAATAAGCTCCTACAGGTGTAATACCACCATTGATTTTCCCCTATTAGTCTTTGTTAAATTTGCACTTTTCAAAAAATTGTGCAGAATTTATCTTTGTTTCAAATAAAGAAATACTTGGCATGAGTAAAGTTTGATCCTGTCCAGTACTATAGAAAAAATTTCACATAACATTTCATTGCATATAAGAAAATAACCATCACTGGAAGTTAACCAATCAAATTTTCCCCCTTTTTTAACCTGTATACAAGCTTTAGTAACCATGTAACCTCAAGTTTCCAAAATATTCTATAGAAACCCCAAATAAAAAAATAATGGTGCTTTGAAATACCCAAGATATATGTTTATGACCCAGAAATGTTTTACTGCAATGAAATGTAGGATCAATTACCTACAACTGTCAAATTCAAGGGAATATTTTTTTTCGACCTATTTTCGTATGCAACCGGATGTGACGTACTATGATTTGGTGGTATTACACCTAAAGAAGACTTTTTTGTTAAATAAACTGAATGTGACTTTTTTCCTTTGTTATACTGGTTATTTCAAGCATTCCTGTCAAGTTTTGTCATAATCAGTTCAATAGTTTGAGAAAAATCTAGTATAATGTAAGACGACATCTGCAGCGATTCGAGCAAAATTTCTTCGAAAAATCCAAACCAAGCCGCATCATGATAGAATATAGTGTGGACCAATAAATGATCAAATATTTATCTCATCTGCCTACAAACAGTTGAATATGATACAAAAGATGACTTTAGGATGATAAATACTACCAATGGACCTCTTTGTCTTCCTTATAAGGTCTCTTTTGGTCCATTTATACCTCTCATTTCCTCAAAATTTCTACTTTATAGGCCAATAAATAAAAATTTTGGGGTAACTTTCACTCATTTATGATAGAAATGTTATAATAAATGATTAATTGAAGTATTCAAGCTGAATGAACTATCCGTATAAAAGTTTACTGTCTCCAAGGAGGTTTCAATAAGTCCTTACGTAAAACTTAAATTTACGCCGCGTTCCAGAGAGGGACATAAAAAGCTTCTCTTTTGGTGAATAATTTGTTGTTACTGCTTTAAAAATAATTTCATTTACTTAAAACTATATATTTATTAAAGTATTTCTTAGGAAAAAATTTCTAGTATAGCAGAATATAAGAAAAAAGGAGAAAAAGCTCCCCAAAACTCTAAGTATGGCTTATTCTGTCAACTAATATTCATGGTAAAGTCCTATTTCAAGGAAATTTTCTCATAAAATGTGTTTTGGAGACTCAATCCACTCAGAATATTTCATTATTAGTAATATTTCACTTAAATAGCAAGAAATTTTAACACATGAGAGTACTCACAAGGTCAAAGGTGCATGTACAGCTTCCTATATTAGGTGTAATACCACCATTGATTTTCCCCTATTAGTCTTTGTTAAATTTGCACTTTTCAAAAAATTGTGCAGAATTTATCTTTGTTTCAAATAAAGAAATACTTGGCATGAGTAAAGTTTGATCCTGTCCAGTACTATAGAAAAAATTTCACATAACATTTCATTGCATATAAGAAAATAACCATCACTGGAAGTTAACCAATCAAATTTTCCCCCTTTTTTAACCTGTATACAAGCTTTAGTAACCATGTAACCTCAAGTTTCCAAAATATTCTATAGAAACCCCAAATAAAAAAATAATGGTGCTTTGAAATACCCAAGATATATGTTTATGACCCAGAAATGTTTTACTGCAATGAAATGTAGGATCAATTACCTACAACTGTCAAATTCAAGGGAATATTTTTTTTCGACCTATTTTCGTATGCAACCGGATGTGACGTACTATGATTTGGTGGTATTACACCTACAAGTTCTGTGGTCAGTCCATGTTCATAAGTACAAGTGTCATTTACTGAGAATACAATGTAACTGATGAAAGGAGAAGGTCCTGTAAGGGCTAATTTTAGCCTAAAATTTGAAGTACTTCTGAAGAATGATTTTTGACATTTTTTCACACACTTGAGTGTCTATTGCAGTCAATTCAATGACTTTAAGAAAAAGATTTGAACTGATTTGGTCATTAAAGACGCTCAAATTCAAGCTTAGATATGTAAAATCTATCAAATATGCCATAAAACGTCACTTTTCAAAGGGTTTTTATCTAAAATGTAAATGTAAATTCATGTTCAGTCTAAACTTTTATATATGTTATTTATTATCATCAAATACAACAAATATTTAAAATATTAAGATTAAACACAAGTGCAGCCACTTCCATTTTAGACCAAAACCGTCTAAAAATTTGCACAAATTCTAAAATTGTGAAGATTTCAATAATTTTGCATGAAGTAATGATGCTAGTATGTGATGCATGTTCATTGTATTGTCAAAAAACAGCCCATTTTTATGTACCAAAGTATTTTACTTTCCAAAAAATAGCTAAAATTTTACATTTTTAACAAATTTATAAAAATGCTATATTTTGGGGCCAAAAAGGAGTCTTACTGGGCCCAATCCTTTACATTGATTGCTCAATCAGTTATTGGAATAGTTACATTGTTTCTCACCTAAGGTTAACTATGAATACAAGGAGTGTACATTGAACTCTTCAGTTCAGAAATCATTTAATTATTGCAAATTCAGAATTTTTTGCATGCATTTATCATTGCAAATGTTTGACAAGTACACAAATGGCAGATTTATTATTGCAATTGAAGAAATGCTTCATACAGATAATGCTATCAAAGGTTTAAAATGTGAGTTTTTATCGTTGCAAACCCACTCTGTCACAAAAAAAATTAGTGTAGCAGATATTATGATACTTATACTTCCTTTAATTATTGAAGGTATGAATAAATGTAAATTATAGATAATTATAGTTTTATGTCTTTTAGGTGGTGTTATAAACACAATGCCATTAATGTATACAAAAGTCAAACCAGAGGCAAATCAGGTAATTATGTCACATGTATGGATCACAAGACATGTAGGGATCACAAGACATGTAGGTATCACACCACAATGTTGGGATCATGCAACATGTTACTAGGGATCATTTCTGCTATGTTAATGCACAATTCCTTGGAACCAAACTGACCCATATTCTTCTACAGGACAAATGCTATTTTAATTTTAGACCTGAATAATTTTAAAGATTTTCCTTACCTTCATGACTTGGCCATTTACTCTATTTTATTTAGAGACTGCAGGTGACACATGTCTTCCATGGGAAACTCAAACATTTTCAGACTTCAGGATTTGTATTTAGCTATTTGAACCGTAGATCAACTCTGTTGAATTTAATTGTCTAGTGACTTTTTAATGTCCTATAGAAATTTCTTGCAGATTCTTAAATAATTCAGTGAAACTGTTAAAAGATTTCTATATTTTCAAGATGGATAGATATTTGTAGTAAACCTAATTTCAGTGGTTATATTTTTCTTTTGCTTCATACCATTCCTGAAGAAGGTTAAAAAAAAAGCCTTTCAATCCAACAAATATTTTCAAAACATTTATCAATTTCATTTCAATTTCAGATAAAGAACTTTCGTCTGTCTGTGATATTAGGCCTTTTGACATGTATGGTGCTTAATGTTTTATGGTAGGTTGTCGTAAAATCTGTTTCATAGTGACCTATAATGAAATCCAGGTGTATAAAAAAAATCAAAGAAACCACCCAAAATAACATCTGTTAATAATGGTTTTTTGAAGTTGTAACTTTGGCATTTTTGGGGGTAATCAGACAAGTGCCATTTTTTGGCTCTACAAACTGTCTTTACAGTATGGTACACATTCTTCACTCTTTCAAAACTTTCATTACAAAATAATACCTCTTTCCTTTTGTTTATCAAGAACCAGGATCTTTTTAGGTTAATGATTTAGATGAGTAAATTTAAAAAAAGAGGGATCAAGTGACCCCTACGTTTTTATTATGTTTGTGAAAAGAGCATGATATAAACTGTTTTGGCAGAGTATTAAAATCTCTTTTTTTTTAATTTAGACACCCCATCTACTTTAAGTAATGACTAAGTGTTCTCATAAGAAGTTTTACCTGGCCTTCTTGTGTTTTTATGGGATAAAAGTTATGTTTTATATCAGTTTTGTTGTTCTGGCATTGGAATATTTTATGTGAGTTCTTAAAATGTTTTGTACTATTTTTTGTAGGTGCTGGGCTGTACTGGACATTGTACCACAGACATCAACATTCCCCTGTAAAACTGGCATTTGTCACAGTAATATATCTTTAGCTAGGTACATTTTATATAAACATAAAGTCATTTCCTTAGAAACAGACCATACTACTCAGAAAGTTCATTTAGTTATTGGTCCATCATAATATATATTTGATTAAGCAGCCAAGATTTGTGCTAAAGCCATCATTATTACACTTGTATGCTATTTAGTATGCAGATTTATTAATTATATGAGAATATTTAATAGGCATTTTGTGATGATAAAAGTAATGTTTTCTTCAGAATTTTTGTTGGTTTTGTATTTCATTAGAATTTGTCATTAGAGGTGTTCCTTTAAATTTGTGTAAAATTATCTGTGGCAAGTGTGAGACTTTAATAATAATTTGTCTTGTGAAAATGTTGATATTTTAATCATTTTCCTTGTTACTAAAAATTGTGTTTTCTCTACTAAATAAATGAAGAAATATGTTTGAATAATTGATGTATATATATTTTTTGAATTTAACTGAGAAGTTAAAGTTTTTATTCAGTATAGTTTTTGTTAAACAAACTTAATTGCAATCAACAACGTTTTCAAGGTCATAGTATTAATATGATATTTACATTTTATGCAGCCATGTTCTAAGTAGCCTTTCATATTATATCTAAAACAAGATGCACTATTTCCAAGGGAGATAATAAATTTTACATACTCCACTTTAAAAAAAAAATCAGTTTGGAATTGATGTTGATAACATTGTACAAGGCATAGGTAAAGAAAAGGTATATAAACAACAGGTACACTGAATAGTATTATAATGACATTTGACTAATGAGATCAATGACTTAAACCAATATATGTAAATAGATGTTTATGATTACAGATCCAAATCATTAGGAGAGATTTCAACCATTCCATTAACAGAGGTAAGATTGTAATTAGATTTATATTTAGTATAGAATGACTGGTAACTGGAAAAATATGTGGAAAATATATGAATAGGCAAAATCATCATTAGTAGTATTACAGTATTATAAATTTATTTGTAATACCTGTCAACAATAGTACGGGGCATTTATGTTTTCTGGTTTTTGAGTCCATCCGTTTGTCTGTCCCATATCAGGTTAAAGTTAAGTTTAAGGTAGTTAACCATGAAATTGTTAACTTCTTGAGTTTTTTAATCAGATTTTGCAATTGACTGATGATGAAAAATGATAGTGCTTGTTTTCACAATTTTTCTTTACATTGATAAATAAAACCTCTCTGAAACATTACTAAAACCTTATTAGTGAGTATGGTAGCTGAATTTCACATTAAATCAGTATTGTCAAATATTTCATCACTTCCTGCAGATTACCAGTCAAAAAAGGAAACTTTTAAATAAATTAAATGGTATTTAAGGGGGTACCCAACACTTTGACTAAAATAGATAACTACACAATTTACTGGAATAATTTTTTGGACATATAGCAGTTTGACAAACACTAATTTTGATCATTGAGAAGCTTGACTTCTCTTTGCAAATAGTATGTGATTAAAATATTCAACTGATTTTAAAGAGTTAACTCACTTAGGAGTTCTGTACTCCCTTGAAATAAAACACATTTCACGGAGATTATCATATGACCTTTAATAATGCATAAACACCCTGCAAGTTTAGAACTCCATGAAAAAATTAGGAAATAAATTGAGGAACTTGTGTATTGAATACTAGAAATTTGATTTGATAATTTGTTGTTTTCCAGATTATTAGAGCCAAGTACCCAGAATATACATGGGTGTCTTTGTTGGTTGAATCATTCATTGTCGTCAGTATAACAGTGTCATTTCTGGTCAATGGAGCTGTCCTATATCATACCTGTAAGTTATAATGCTAGGTAAGATGGTGTTCGTATCTATGGAGTTATTATTTACATCACCTTAACTGTGTCATGTCTGGTCAGTGCATGGAGCTGTCCTATATCATACCTGTAAGTTATTAAACTATGTAAGATGGTGTTTCTATAGATGGAGTTAATTTATTACATCAGTTTAACCTTCTCATGTCTGGTCAGAGGTTCTTGTTAATAGTGGAGCAGTCTACTACCATACCTTAATTGTGTATTGTCTCTCCTGTAATGAAAGTCGCAGTATGCGAGACAGGGATTAATATCTGCCAGTGGCGGTGTAAACTATTTGTATAAAGCTTTAAATTTCAGAAGGTAGAAGACCTGGAATCTTCATACCTTGTATGCAAATACCTTATGTTATGAAGTTTCTGTCTGTCCATTGTCCTTGGCCTCATTTTCATGGTCCAGGGACTGCTTTGAAAAAAATTGTAGTTTTTTTAACATGTGAATTTCTCACTTATTATGAGTAATAGGGTAACTTTATATTGGTATAAGGTTTCCTTGCAATGTCTACATGTCTTTCAGACACTGTTCACCTGACCTTCATCTCATTTCATGGATCAGTGATCAAGGTTAAAGTTACGTGATTATGTCAGTTTCTCAGATACTATAAGCAGTAGGTCAACTATATGTGGTATTTGGAAGATTTGGAAGATTTGTAAGGTGAACATGTATGTCTAGCAGGCATCATCTGACCTCATTTTCATGGCTCATTGGTCAATATTAAGTTTTTGTGTTTTGGTCTGTTGTTTAAATACTATAAGCAGTAGGTCAACTATATTTTGTGTATGGAATGATTGTAAGGTGTACATGTCTGTCTGGCAGGTATAAACTAACCTTGACCTCATTTTCATGGTTCATTGGTCAATTTTAAGTTTTTGTGTTTTGGTCTGTTTTTATACAGCCGTTTATAGGACGTATTATGGTAAATCGTTGTCTGTCGGACAATAACTCAAAAACGCTTTAACCAATTTGCATGAAACTTTGGTGAATTGTTTATATCTATTGACCTGAGCTCCATTTCGATTTTTATAAATTTTAGATTTTAAGTTTTCGAGTTGTGGGGTTTTATTCATTAAAAAAGAGTGATTTTCCAGTTTTCGGAAAAAACTCAAAAACACTTTCACCAATTTGCAAGAAACTTTGGTGAATTGTTTATATCTATTGACATGAGCTCCCATTCGATTTTTATAAATTTTAGATTTTACCTTTCCGAGTTGTGGGGTTTTATTTATTAAAAAAAGGGTGATTTTCCAGTTTTCGGACAATAACTCAAAAATGCTTTCAGCAGTTTTCATGATACTTTGGTGAATTGTTTATATCTATTGACGTAAGCTCCCTTTCGATTATTATAAATTTTAGATTTTACGTTTCCGAGTTATGGGATTTTATTCATAAAAAAGGGGTGATTTTAGAGTTTTCGGACAATATCTTTAAAGTGCTTTGAGGAGTTTTCATGAAACTTTGGTGACTGGTTTATATCTATTAAGATAACCTCCTTTTAGTTGTTCATAAATATTCTTTTAAAAAGCGACGGGCGTATCATGCGCTCATGGCACAGCTGTTTATTCAATTACCATTAGCTATGGGTCTGTCTATCTGGATTTTTCTGACCTTGGCCTCATTGTCATGGATCTTAAAGACTTTCAACATAAAATCAATGGTCAGTAAAACAGGTGAGACATATCAGTGTATGCACTCTTGTTATACTTAATTCAAAAATTCCTTCTTTTTATTTGCTTTATTTTAATTGTTAATTTGCTATATTTTTTGCAAAGTAAACAAGCACCTCCTTTTCCTAGATGCTTTCATCTTTAATATTTTATTGCACTGTGTTCTTGTCTGAAATTAATGAAGACTCAAAGATTAAGAAAATATAACACCCACTCCATTAGGTTTTCTAACTTATCAGATAACTGTAAATTCAGAAATGTTTGTGATGTTTTTATTATTGCTAAATTGTAATTGCTTAATGCCCATTGTTCAATAATTTTTGAATTAACAGTAATTTGTTTGATTTCAGTGACAGGATGGATAAAATCTTTATGGCCAAAAGATAAAGAGTCAGCTTATAAATCTAAGAAGATATGCTGTAATGGAGAATGGTAGGTAAAATCGATCTAGCCTAGAAAACTATAAATATTTACATGGAAAGATAGCAAGCTACTGATAAAAAAATAAAACACAGTTGTTTAGCCAAGAGTCTGGTCAACAAAAATATTTATATGATTGAAACCATCAATTCAGAAGTAATACACCTTATCGCTATTTTTTGTCTGCCATTACTGGACATCACAAAGGTTCCCGTAAAATTTTGATGTCACAATAGAAAATATCTGACACCACAATGGAAAAGTGATTGTTGTATGATGTCAAAAGTTCAAGCGGCGCAGACTCGGGTCATCCGGCGCATATTTCCAAATAGCGATAAGGTGTATTGCTCTTAAAGGTAGTTGTTTTACCATTTTTGGTGGAAGAAGACTTTCAAGTCTTCTGAAATCCTATAGTGCCGACTGTTTCTTTAAATATAGAACCGTTTCCTTATATTTTAATTATTTCAAATAAATAAATATAGAAACATGCTTTACAGGTTTTTTTGAATATATGTGTATTTTCATTATTTCACTGTACCAAAAGTCCATTACTAGCTCTAGTATAGTAATTAACTTCTGATTTTACTGATAGTATAAAATTAACATTTGTTCAAGAAAATGGGGAGTGTTGAGGTTTTTTTATTATCAAGGATATGTTTAAGATAATCTATTCACAGTTAACTGCATAGTGTATAAATGCATGAATCAAGATTTAGATTTATGAAGAGTCGGCATGGTTGACATAGCCTCTTCTCTTCAAAGGATCTAACCACAAATTGTAATCTAATCTAATCCTTATTGATTTTAGACTCAAAAGTTCCATATGATAAAGAATTATATCGCTATTTTACGAAATTTTCCTTTGATCTTGCTGAATGATAATTTCCTTTCTCAGCTGAGTCGAGTGATATGAAAAATTATCGCTAGACACTAAGGGGGACCGTGGCGTTGCTAATGAAATTGACAACGTCTTCATAGGTAAAATAGCGATAAACAGATTATCATTGGTCATCTCAACTCGATTGCTTTTCTCACTTTCGCCGTACCGGCTTAAGCGAAAAAAATCCATCTCGTTGAGATGATCAACAATAATCTATATGTATATTTCAGTGTGTGTAATACAGAATTGTATATTTCAGTGTGTGTAATAAAGTATTCTATATTTCAGTGTCTGTAATAAAGAATTGTATATTTCAATGTGTGTAATAAAGAATAATACATTTCAGTGTGTGTTATAAATAATAATATATTTCAGTGTGTGTAATAAAGAATTATATGTTTCAGTGTGTGTAATAAAGAATTCTATATTTCAGTGTGTGTAATAAGGTTGTTTCCCTGTTTCTGTTCAGTATTGTATTCGTAGTAGCCATGTTAGATCCAAGAGTAAGTACACTAGATTTATTTTAGCCAATTTAAAAAAAAAAAAATAATGATTTAAAAACAAAAATATTCAATGATGGAAAAGTTGATCTTGAGATAAATTTATCCTTTAATCAAATATGCTTTCTACAGTTAGTTGTATCCATATACTCAAAATATATATTTTTGTTTAAAACATTTTCCTATTTCAAATGAAAAATCATTACATAAAAAAAAAATTACTGTTTGACTCTCGCTGAGAAATAATAATGTACCTCACAAAACACCTCAAAAAGATTTCACACATGAGTGTAATTTGTGGTCATCCCTTTATTGAAAAGTTGTGTTCCTAGGATTATTTTTTTTGGGGGGGAGGGGGTAAATTTGCCATAAAAATGTGAAAATGTGTACTGGTATTGCTAATGTTTTTAAAGGTTGATGCAAACAAATTGTAAGACCAGATGCTGGTATCTTGGTTGTAATGGGAATGCCTTTTTATACCCCTGTTTTAGATTGGACATATTATGTACCCTGTAATAGTATGACGAAAGAAAGCTTCCTCACGATTTTGAGGATTTCAAATTTTATCATTCCAGAGTTATATATATGGAACTGTATTAATTGAAAATTTATCATTTTCTCAAATGGTGTACAATAACTCACCTTGGCTGTTATGCTTTTTCTTGAAATCACAGGACTAGAATTTAGAACTTTGTCCTTCCAGAAAATTGAACATTAATCATATATCGGGGCACCTACTTAGTATGTTTAGATTCTCAAAACTTGACATTATTGTTGAGATTGATAGGAGGAAGCTCCCTTTAGATTTTGACAACTTTCTGAATTGTTGTTTCAGAGATATTGGAGTCTAATTTCTAATTTAAGTAAAGTTTTCACATGTTGTTTCATAACTTGAGTATGCTTGGATCAATTTATTGGAAACTTAAGCTAATTGTTGGAATGGGTAAAAGTATTTTTTAAATTGTTATTTCACAGTTATGGACTTTAACCTTCAGAGTGAAAGCTTTTTTTTTATAATCAGCACTAGCTCTAGTATATTTGATCCAAATTACTGCAAAGTTGACACTGTTTTTGGCATTCCGTGAATGCAAGATTTCTGCCAGAGTTATGGGACTTTTTGTGTAATTCATACATCAAAGGATATCTTCATGCAAAATACTATTTAGATTGAATCAAAAAGACTGCCAAAGGCAAAGAATCAATGCAAAAGTTATTTCATTTTGACAAAATTTGCCTTAGTATGAAACAATTTTATCTGAAGATGTCATAATTATAATGGAAGATAGTTAAATATGGGATTATGTTACATTGCGGATATGACAAAATCATATAATGCGTAATATCACCAGACGAGCGAACACACTGATTCCACTGTAACGTAAGAATTTTATACGACATCACATAATTTACTTAAAAATTTGAATACGTCATTTTACTCCTATTCATTTTGAATGTTACACAAAAAGAAGCTTTAAAAAAAATACACAGTTTCATCATGCTGATAATCTTAGTTCATGTTTATTTTCCAGGGTTTTATAGAAATATTGGAGAAATACTCATCATTGGCAATTAATTTAGAAGCTGGATTATTTGTATTTATAATGATGCTTAGTGCCAGGAAGAAATATACATTGTAAGATTTTATAGATATTATATTTTTACATACATCCTTCAACGATATTTGCCAACCTGTCCGAATGAGAAATCATGTCATGACAAGACACGATAAAATGCATATAAAAACTCATAAACTGTTTTTTGCTCTATAAATCATCATCTCAGTGATGATAGTCTTCTCATAGAGCTGCTACAGTTTACCTAGTGCCTCAGTGATGATAGCCTTCTCATCGAGCTGCTACAGTTTACCTAGTGCCTTAGTGATGATAGCCTTCTCATCGAGCTGCTACAGTTTACCTAGTGCCTCAGTGATGATAGTCTTCTCATCGAGCTGCTACAGTTTACCTAGTGCCTCAGTGATGATAGTCTTCTGATTGAGCTACTACAGTTTACCTAGTGCCTCAGTAATGATAGTTATCTCATCGAGCTGCTACAGTTTACATAGTGCCTCAGTGATGATAGCCTTCTCATTGAGCTGCTACAGTTTACCTAGGGCCTCAGTGATGATAGCCTTCTCATTGAGCTGCTACAGTTTACCTAGGGCCTCAAAGATGATATTCTTCTCATTGAGCTGCTACAGTTTACCTAGTGCCTCAGTGATGATAGCCTTCTCATCGAGCTGCTACAGTTTACCTAGTGCCTCAGTGATGATAGTCTTCTGATTGAGCTACTACAGTTTACCTAGTGCCTCAGTGATGATAGTCTTCTCATCGAGCTGCTACAGTTTACCTAGTGCCTCAGTGATGATAGTCTTCTCATCGAGCTGCTACAGTTTACCTAGTGCCTTAGTGATGATAGTCGTCTCATCCAGCTGCTACAGTTTACCTAGTGCCTTAGTGATGATAGCCTTCTCATCGAGCTGCTACAGTTTACCTAGTGCCTCAGTGATGATAGCCTTCTCATCGAGCTGCTACAGTTTACCTAGTGCCTTAGTGATGATAGCCTTCTCATCGAGCTGCTACAAATTACCTTGTGCCTCAGTGATGATAGTCTTCTCATCGAGCTGCTAGTTTACCTAGTGCCTCAGTGATGATAGTCTTCTCATCGAGCTGCTACAGTTTACCTAGTGCCTCAGTGATGATAGTCTTCTCATCGAGCTGCTACAGTTTACCTAGTGCCTCAGTGATGATAGCCTTCTCATCCAGCTGCTACAGTTTACCTAGTGCCTTAGTGATGATAGCCTTCTCATCGAGCTGCTACAGTTTACCTAGTGCCTCAGTGATGATAGTCTTCTCATCGAGCTGCTACAGTTTACCTAGTGCCTCAGTGATGATAGTCTTCTCATCGAGGGTATAATTTATTTACGCCTGGCAGGAATGGTGAAATCAGTTTGCCTGATTGTAAACAACAAGTTTCAAGTAATATTGAGTTTTTAAATGTCTTCCACTTTGAAAAATGATCCAACTAAATGTAAACTAGGTTTGGGAGATAATGATTTGTTTTTTAGTGGTTATTGGTTTTGAAATAGCTTTATATAACTGGGAATACTCTTACATTGTACTATTTGTCTTTTGTCTTTATGTTAGTTATTTTTTGTGCTTCCTGCTGGTCAAATTATGAAGGTCATTTCCAACTGATTTTTACAGTTTGTTCTTATGTTGTGGTATAACATCTATGTCCCAGGTTAGGTGAGGATTGAGCACTCAAAAACATGTTTAACCCCTCCACATTCTGTATGTGTATGTCCCAAGTTAGGAGCCTGTAATTTACTCGTAGTCATTGGTTGCTGTCTGATATATATCTGGTTTTAGTTTATAGTTTTATCATAATTGAGGCCATTGGTTTTTTTGTTTGAAAAATAAAGCTGACTATACTGTGTGGGTTTTGCTCATTGTGGAAGGCCATACGGTGACTTATAATTGCTTAAATCCACATCATTTGGACTCTGTTAGATAGTTTCTCATTTGCAATCATACAATATATCCTTATTTCATATGGAAACGTTAACAGCTTGTTTCCTGATCCCAATTCTTTTTCAATTGTATAAATATGTCCATGCTAAATTGTGTATATTGTATTTTACACTAAATGTAAACATTTAAATATGAATGAGATATAATGGTGAAAAAAAAACAATTTATTTAGCCCACAATAAATTTCTTTTTTCAAATTAAACTTCTTTTCCTAAACATTTTGATAGGTACAATAGTACCTCTTTCACTATAGATAAAACCATCTGTCCTCAATAAAATTGAGAATGGAAATGGGGAATATGTCAAAGAGACAACAACCCGACCAAAGAGCAGACTTTGTAGTGGAAATCATTTGTAACATAATGTGATTTTTCGTTGATGAACAAATCATATTTATGTCCTGTAAGCAAGGTGAAGAAATGTTTGTATTGTTTGTCCACCTTGTCAAACATAACATTATGATCAATAACAAAACTGCTTTATATCTTTTTAAATTATTTGTTTAGTTAGTTTAAACATATTTTATTGATGAAATAATACATGACAGAAGGATTTGTTACAAGTTATACAACTTAGAATTTAGTTGCATGCTTGAGAGTACCAATGAGTGTTTTTTAAAAGCAATCATATGCATGTACAACTTAAATGTTTTCATGAAGTTTGATATTTGTCTTTTTTTTCAGACAACATAAAATTGCAGTAAGGATTCCTGGCTACATGAGACCATTACAGTTACTTATACCATTATATTTTGGTTTTGCTGTAGTCTATGATCTATATAGTGCCTTAAGTGATATAATCCAAGAAAGTTCACCAGGAAAAATAAATTCTACTCAATTAAATAACAGTGTTATAGAGAAGGTAACACAGATATTTGACAGTCATGACACAACATCTAGTCTTCAGCCTACAACTCTTCCTTTTAATTCTACAAACTTTACCAACATGTTTTAAGTACATTGACGAATCAGTGGATTTTATAAACTTTAATGACCGCTCTTCAATATGAGATTTGATCCTTATTTATTTTGCTTGTGTTCATTGTTGATAACATTGTACTTTAAGTGTTACTATATATGTATATTTGAAACCAAAGCTCTAGGAAACATGGTATCTGTTTAATATTTAATGTTGCTCAATTTTTATTGTTTCGCCTAAACAAAGTAAAAAAAGCGAGACTTAGGTGTGCTGTTTCCGACAAAAAAGTGCTTGTGTTTTGTATCATGATAGATATTTCTTGATTGATAAGAGCCAAAGATGTGTGGGAAATTTCAAATACAGTTTTATTAAATCATACCACATCTTCTTATATCTATTTATTAAATAATTTGCATATTATTTTAACTGATATGGCAGAAGGTGTACATTTACAGTGCAAATTCCTCCTAAGGTACCTGATCCAACTTCTTTTGACTTCTATGAACTACTTCTCTCTCTCATGTTTATATATAATGGTTCTTTAAGGACCAGTTTAGAAGGTTGTGTGAGTCTTTCTGAAGTACCAAGGGTTATTTGAAATAAGAGTTTTTGCTTATGGGGATATTTTAATGTTTATAGCATATGTATTATATTTTTTAATGTTTTTTTTTATGTATTTTATAATATTGGGTAATTGTGAACTCAATTTGTATTTATTATATATAAATAATCTATTATAAAAAGTAATACAAGACCTCCAGGACAGTATAAGAGAATGAAATGTACTTTCAGATAAATATATGAATGTATTAAATAAACTTATTACATTGCTTGTAATGAATTACCATGATTTCCCAGTGAAATAAAAACCGATAATGTCACATGTGAAATAAACTCGGTTATTTCACTCCTCTGACGTCATACAACAATAGGTGTTGTCAAGACGTTGTCGATGAAGTCGCATCAAAGCAACTGTGAATGCGTAGAAAAAGATATAGTTCCTTACATTTTCTACTTTAATTCCACTAAAAATCCCATTGTCAATGTAATAAAATGAATAACTAATCAAAGAATTCAAATATCGAAAAATATTAAACTCGTAAACTAACAACACTGATAATTAACTCATGCGCTACTCGCATTCGTGAATTAATGTGTAGTTCGGTCACTTGTTGAATATTTTTCTCTATTTGAATTCTTCGATTAGTTATTATATAATTAACTATAATTATTGCACCATAATTTCGACTTGGAGCATAATTCTTTAATATTGGCTTAAAGCAATAGTTGTTTTTAGCTTTATTAGCTTATTAGAGGTGACAATAAATAAAATTTCCTGAGCAATATTAGAATTTCAGATACTTCTGAAATATAATAAATCATACTACAATAATCCACACACAGATTCATTTATAAATGAAGTTTGTTCCGAAATGACAATTTTGATCTTTAGCATCATCTTAATTGTACCATGATTATATTAAATCTTGTGTATATGAAACAAATTATGAAAGGATTGTATTTCAAACAGAAGTCAAAGCATGAAAACAAACATTTGCTACTGGAATAAAAAATCCAATAGATGTGTAGCAATTATTTAAAGTTATATAAAACTGTACAACTTAAAATAAGTTAGTAGTGAAAACAAATTTATTCATAATTATTTTTTACTGTTAATTTTAATTTCAAAAATGACAATTAGAAAATTACATCATATTACAAATTCCTATCAGATGATAACCTGTATCAAGCCCAAAGATATGATGGTATACAAAAAATGTTTAGATGTCACTTAGAGATGAAAATATTCTTGAAAAAAGATATTTACAAAACATGTGTCACCTTATATTTGAAAAAAGATTAAGTTTTTTTAAGGTTCAAGTGTTTTAAGTATTGAAATTGTTCATTCATTGGCACTTTGAGAACATAACCAAAAACTTATGAATGGGTTCTTGAAGATTTTATTTAAAGGTTTTAGTTAAATTAGTATAAAATAAAGTGAATGGTTGTTATCATATTTGATACATTTATCATTGTCCCCTTTTTAACACATCTGACTTAAATGTCATGTGACCTGGCATGTTATCATATCTATTTCTGTCACCTGGTGTGTGTCATCTCTGTGGCCACTAATTCTAAATTTCAAGCAGCTTTCTTAAATTATTGAACCAAATTTGGCAGGAATAATGTATAGAGGTTTTTTTTTATAAAATCTCTTTTCATTAACCATATGGATTGTAAAATTCTCAAAGTGGTGAATTTCTCTGAAATAAAATTACAGTAGGTTTAGATGGTGCCGTTTAGATGATTGAAGTGGTGGATAATTTCATATTGTTTCCACTTTCAATGTGATAATAAAAACAAAACAAATAGGTCTTTGTGTAAATGTTGTTTGCTCCTAAAAGGGATACCGGGTATGTAATATAAAATTATTCAAATGATGATTCAAATTACTAATTTGCTCATTATTAGATTGTTTTGTTTATTGGCAAGGAAGTTTAATATTAATTGTGCAATAATGGATTATGTGATTATTTTTATGTACAGCAAATATATAAATCTGGTAAAAAAAAGTGTAAAGTATGCAAATTATTGTGTCATAAACCTGATATATCAGTGAAAGGGTTAACTATAAATATTTTCTTATGACATTTTTACAAAGTTGACACTATTTCAGTGTTATATCAATCGAATCAAAGTAATGTATTTTAACATACATTATTTTTATTGAGTTTTATGGTATGATATTTATCATGAAGGAAAGTTAGATTAATTATGCTAATCAAGGACATATGTTAGTTATACGTCCTTGTGCTAATGTTTTATTAAATATAACTTTAGGGTTTGGGCTACTGTCTTTTGTAAAATATTTTATTAGTAGAAGAAATGCATATTTTAGAAATTATTTTTTATTACTTTTGATCTGAAGATTTTAAATTATGATCATTACAATATTTATTTATCTTTATTAATAAATATATTAAAATCTTATTATTCTGTTGTATATCCTAGTCTACAGAATTATATCTTCTTCTAATGAATGTGATTTAATATGTTTATAGCTTGATAGTTTATGGCACCACTAGTGTTGCTCATGATAGTAAAACTTCTGTAGGGATATGATGTTGCTCTCTGGTCGTACACATAGATTTTTTGCTTCCTGTACCGATGTTTTAGTAGGGCTCATCCTAACCCATAAGTTGGCAAGTCCTTGTGTCCATTCTAAAATAGCTGATAAGCCTTTTTGATTTAGATATTCTTTATATTCTTTGAACTCTCTCAGTTCATCGATAAGGTTATTCAGTGTCCAATTCAGACTAAAAGAGTCTTTTAGCACAATAGTCTTCTGAGAAAATCTCTTTGAATGGTGTTATGTAGACTCTCAGTGATGCGATATTTAAGGAATATGAAGAGTGCAATGAGTTCTGCTAATAGTATGGACCCTTTCTGTGCTATAATTAGACACATTGGATGTTTTTAGAGGATCGGTATAGATCATTCCCCAGCTTCTAAGGGAGGATCTACAGTTGAATGATATTGCTTGCTCTTGTTTACAGTGTAACTTCGCTCCTTCAGTTTCCTGGCATAGTTGCTGCTCTGTTGTCCTGTATTTTGAGTTTCCTTGTCGACTCCAGTACAGTGTTTTTGATTTAGCCATGCTGGGTCTATGTCATCGCTCCTGATTTTAAGATGGTGCAGAATTCTGAATTGAAGACATTTATGATGAAACTATTAAATGATGTGTTTTATGACTTGCATATAGTTTAAACACCATTTTAATTATCTACTGCCAACTTTTATACATAGTTATTTGACTGGTGAACACAGTTATTTGGTAGTCGTTTCTTTTAGACAATAAAGCCAAATAAAAAAATCACACATACTCTATTTCAAAATTTGTTATTACAGTGTAGATTACTACATACTTTTGGGACAAATTAAATCAAAATTATAGAAAAGTTGATCAGCTTTTACTCAAAATATGGAAATTCTATGTTAAATGGGTCTATAAATCTGTTTCACAGCTTCAGACATACTAACTTTTGACCATTTACAACTGAACCAAATCACTTCTTTACCTAAAAATTCATCGCCCAAATTTTTTATACGTCCCCAAAATTTTTGCAGCCTTATAATGTATGACGTTGTCATTGTCTTTGTGGTCTCTGTCTTCCTCTGAAGACATTTGGTTTCCAGACAATAACTTCAGTATAAGGGTATGGATGTCTATGAAATTGTACCACAAGGTTCCATACCACAAAAGGAAGGATTGGATTGATTTTGTGGGTTATTGTCCTAACTGTTTAGGAATTAGGGGCAAAAAACAAGCATTGTTCTTGTTTCATGACAATAACTTGTGTATAAGTGTATGGATCTCTATGAAATTGTACCACAAGATTCCAGACCTCAAAAGAGAAGATGGGATTGATTTTTGGGGCCATGGCCCAAACTGTTCAGGAATAAGGGGTCTTATTGGACCCCATGTCAGATTTGCTCTAAATGCTTTAGTTTCTGAGATATAAGCCAAAATCTGCATTTCACCCCTATGTTCTCTTTTTAGCCATGGCGGCCATGTTTGTTGATTGATCAAAATTTCAGATACAATTCATAAACTAGATTCCTAAAGGAACATTCATTCAAAGTTAAGAAGTATCAGGCACAATAGTTTCAGAAGAAAAGATTTTTAAATGTTAGCAAACTTGATGAACACATTGGGTAAAATTGGCTTTAAAGGGCAATAATTCCTTAAGGGGTCAATTGACAAATTTGGTCATATCAACTTTTTTGTAGATCTTACTTTGCTGAACATTATTGCTGTTTACAGTTTATATCTATCTATAATAATATTCAAGATAATAACAAAAAACTGCAAAATTTCCTCAAAACTACCAATTTAGTGGCAGCAACCCAACAATGGGTTGTACGATTTGTCTGAAAATTTCAGGGCTGATAGATCTTGACCAATTGAACAATTTTACTCGCGTCAGATTTGCTCTAAAAGCTTTACTTTTGGAGATATAAGCCAAAAACTGCATTTGACCCCTATGTTCTATTTTTAGCCATGGCGGCCATGTTTGTCGATGGATTAAAACTTTGGATACAATTTATAAACTAGATATCCTAAGGAACATTTAGATGAAGTTTGAAGGTATTTGGCCCAGTAGTTTCAGAGGAGAAGATTTTTAAATGTTAGCAAACTTGATGAACAAATTGTGTAAAATTGTCTTTAAATGGCAATAACTCCTTAAGGGGTCAATTGACAATTTTGGTCATATCAACTTTTTTGTAGATCTTACTTTGCTGAACATTATTGCTGTTTACAGTTTATATCTATCTATAATAATATTCAAGATAATAACAAAAAACTGCAAAATTTCCTTAAAAATACCAATTTAGTGGCAGCAACCCAACAATGAGTTGTTCGATTCGTCTGAAAATTTCAGGGCTGATAGATCTTGACCAATGGAACAATTTTACGCATGTCAGATTTGCTATAAAAGCTTTAGTTTTTGAGATATAAGCAAAAAACTGCATTTGACCCCTATGTTCTATTTTTAGCCATGGCGGCCATGTTTGTCGATGGATTAAAACTTTGGATACAATTTATAAACTAGATATCCTAAGGAACATTTAGATGAAGTTTGAAGGTATTTGGCCCAGTAGTTTCAGAGGAGAAGATTTTTAAATGTTAGCAAACTTGATGAACAAATTGTGTAAAATTGTCTTTAAATGGCAATAACTCCTTAAGGGGTCAATTGACAATTTTGGTCATATCAACTTTTTTGTAGATCTTACTTTGCTGAACATTATTGCTGTTTACAGTTTATATCTATCTATAATAATATTCAAGATAATAACAAAAAACTGCAAAATTTCCTTAAAAATACCAATTTAGTGGCAGCAACCCAACAATGAGTTGTTCGATTCGTCTGAAAATTTCAGGGCTGATAGATCTTGACCAATGGAACAATTTTACGCATGTCAGATTTGCTATAAAAGCTTTAGTTTTTGAGATATAAGCAAAAAACTGCATTTGACCCCTATGTTCTATTTTTAGCCATGGCGGCCATGTTTGTCGATGGATCAAAACTTCGGATACAATTTATAAACTAGATACCCTAAGGAACATTTAGTTAAAGTTTGAATTTATTTGGCCCAGTGGTTTCAGAGGAGAAGATTTTTGAAATAGTTTACGACGACAGACGACGACAGACGACGACGACAGACGACGGACGACGACGGACGCCAAGTGATGGCATAAGCTCACATGGGGCCCTTCGGGCCCTGGTGAGCTAAAAAGGGGGGATTTTCCAGTTTTCGGACCATAACTCAAAAGTGCTTTGAGCATTTTTTATGAAACTTTGGTGACTGGTTGATATCTATTAAAATAACCTCCTTTTAGTTTTTTTTATAAATTTCTGATATGACATTGAGGAGTTCTGGAACTTGTGGAGCATTTTATTCTACCTTGTAATTTTGACCCCTTACTATTTTAGTCATAAAATATAAAGATTTGGAAGATGTATGACAAATATTTGTTTTAAAAGTTATACACTGTCCAAATATATGTCTCTGACATAAATGACTATTTTTGTATGTATCTTGATATGCTTGTTTAAGTAATTTGGTACACTGAAGCTGTGTATTGGTATATCAAAGTGAATTCCCACAGTTTTTTCAAATACCACTATTTCAATGATTGACAACTGTTATGCTTTACGGACAATTACAATCAAATGTATAAATTGGAATCACACCATCTTTAACGCCAATCTTAATTTGACCACATACATATATAATATCTTATTTCGGTAATAAACCTTGTAACTCATCTTCGTAGACTCACATACTAAAAATCAGCTCAATATATGAAGGCGTTTAGCAAAAGGTCCGTATTAATGTTATTTTCATGAAAATCTCAAAGTCCAAAGTCCGTAATAATATAAGGTGGTTTAAAAATAAAATAAAATATAATCAGTGTCTCAATCACTATGGAATCTTAGAGTGTTTTTATATGAAAACAACATATATCTTTGTTTTCCTGTCATATTTATTTTATATCTTGCTTGTCTTAACACAAACTGCCTTCCACAAGGTGGTGTCCGCTTTTAATTCAGTTGATAAAGCCGTGTCAGGGCAATAAGGTTCAGGGTTTTAAATTGAAAAAGTATTAACAAAAATACCGAACTCCGAGGTAAATTTAAAAAGGGGGTCCATAAAAAACTGACAAAATCAAACGTTAGACTTAATCAACCAACGGAACGAATGGAAAACAACGGTCATATTCCTGATTTGGTACAGAAAAGGATGCATTTATCATAATGAAAACGGACGCGTCATAGAGGAGACCGCAATATTTAACTCACCGAAGTACGACCAATACCGCTAGAGCTTTATTATCGGTTAGCTAATACGGCGGTACTAGTTTTGCTTACATTTAAGGTTTTAATTTATGTAAATGCACTATCATTTTTTATTTGAAAGACTGATAAAACCAATTATCAATGTCACATATATAATCTAACAAGAAAAGCTTATAATTGTTTATAAATATTGAATTAAACAAATATTTACATTCGTTATTACAATAAGCCGGATATGTATATCATTGATGTATCAAATTAAAATGACAAAGGGGTTGTATTATGTATAGTGGAAGTTGGGAAAAAGAAATAAAAAAAAACCCGAATGACATACACACGTCTTATTATTATTATCAGTACTATTATTGCTGTTTATTTACTTCAATCTTTACTAGATACAAATTTGTAATTCTATACACTTGCTAAGATGACAGTCCCTCTTGTCTAGACATGACAGATAATGTTCAAAGTTGTCTTAATTGGCTGTATCATGGTTTTGTCAAATATATACTAAGCCTAAAAATAAAACTATATTGCATTGATACGTTGATATTATAAGAACTAACAGGATACATAGTCTTCTAATTTTAAGGTATAGATTTATAACATATGTTTTAACACAGCCCA